TCTACTGTACTGCTGGTTCATTGGACAAGCAAGTCAAGCAGCTCCTTGAAGCTGTGAATGCACACACACATATACATGCACTTGTACTTTTTTTATTGTTTTCAGTATTGTTATGCTACATTTGTCTGACTTAATGGACATGAGTTCCAATCACAACAACAGCAGTGTCCATATGCATACACTGTTTGATTGTGTTTACCTTCAATTGTATAGCTTCCAGTCCCAAAAGGTGGACAGGCTAATAACAACAATGGATACACCATACACACTGAGAGCAACACATTTGAAGGATCTTTATGAAACCATTACTATGAAGACACTAGCCAAAAATGAGAGACTTGATATCCTGTTAACATTGAAAGCCACTGTTAGGGTAAGGAGGGAGAAGGGAGAGCATGTGTAACTATAAAAACTTCTCCAGGAGCATAACTGTAAGCTAACAAGAGAGATAGTTGAACTGGTTGATAGAGAAGCTGATTTGTTAGTGAGGGACACCAAACCATCAGCTCTTATGGGTATGTCATTCAGTATTGGTTCATGTGACTATTTGGTGCATCAGGTTTGAGGAAAAGAATTGCTACCTTATTCCAACTACACCTCTACTACAACCTAAAGAAAGAATCATTGTAGTTAGACAACACCCACAGGAACAACAACAGCAACAATTAGCTGTAGACTCTAACCACATATGCATAAACAATACTGCTATTTTTCTTTACTGTGGAGTGTTGTAATCATCAATAATACTATATTATGCATGTACTATAACTGTATTGATACTTTAAGCAAACTATATGTACATGTACATGTATATAGTAGAGGAGTCCCTTTATAAATGATGTGTGTGATTAGCTATCATTAGTTGTGGAAATGAAGCGTAAAATGTACTCAGTACTAGTGGTTGCTGTCTTCTTGTTGAGTGTCAGTGAAGTTATTAGTCAATGTCCACCTTCCTCAGGTAAGACACTGGATGTGTATAATAACAACTGTATAGGTTTTTATAGGTATCTACCTGATGCATAATGGAAACTGTTATCCTAATGGATCATATTTTTATGATGCTAATATTACAGGAGCCAGTAACAGTATCATGTGTGTGTTACCTGATACTGATCTGACTGATGGAGAGTGGGTTAATGTTACTAGTGAATCATCAGTTAACTGCAGTACTAATCCTCTTCATTGTAATGAGGTATCTTCACCTAATGCTAACATAAGTCTCTACATTGATAGAGGCATTAAACCATTTGATGATGGCTGGTACAAGTGTTGTCTACCCACTGATTGTTCAGATCCTAACACTACCATCATCTTTGCTAATATATTCAGTAAGTGTTTTCATTAAACTAGTACACACTGTCACTTTGTTACTGATTTACTGTAGGATGGGTACAGATTGAAAATATTACAGTTGACCTTCCTTCAGATAAAACAACTCTACCTCAAACATACACACTACATGCCATTAAAATTGGTCAAACTGATCACAGTTCTTTTTTACATGCTGCCAATTGGTACTATGAGTCTGGTAGGGACAGTACTAAACTCTGCACTGGATATAGGGCCTCATACAGTTGTACATTTATGTATGTTGATGGAATGTCAGTAGGTTATGGTAATGGAAGGTGGGACTATATTCTAAATGTTACTTGGAATGGAGAAATTATTAATAGTGGAGTGCTGAGTCAAAAAAACAACAATGGGGATCATGTATTTAGATTCTATTTAGATTTTGGTCATATCAATGACAACCCAGTAAAAAGAAATAGAGACATTTTTGTAACAGGTAAAAGTAGCAATAAAATGACTATATTATTTTTTATAGTACCAGCAACTGCTCCCTCTTCTCTTACTGAGATCAACAAGACAACTACCAATATCACTGTCAGTTGGACTGCACTTGATTCATCTGATGCTGATGGATATGTAGTCAATGTCACTAGTGACACAGACACTGGGCAGACAGTACAGTTGGAAGGAAGTAATAATGCAATCACACTGAATGAACTGAGAGGAGGAATAACTTATAGCATCACAGTCAGAGCCTATCAACAATTACTGGGACCTGCTAGTACAATCAGTGTACAGACCTTACCAGGTATTGCTACTGCACCTTTTAATGTACTTGTAACATTGTTGATGTATTTCTAGTTATTAATTCAATCAATTGGACACTAGTCTCATCCATTACACAGCTCAATAACACTCAATATCGTATTGATTGTCTCACAACTACTGATATAGATCCTTCAACTGATGTTTACTGGTTAGTGAATGGAGTGATGAAGAGCAGCTCAAACTATTCATTAATTGATGTCCTGACATACAACAACACACTACTGGTATATCCTGATCCACTGGGAGTGTCAGTTAATGTTACCTGTATAGCAATGATTGGAGGAGTCAACTACAATCAATCTGTGATATTACATGGTATGATTATACTTTAATCAATAGTAGATACCTTTGTCTCTAGCTCCTAGTGGTCCTCCAAATAATGTGAGAGGGTTTATATTAAATGCTACTAGTATCAAAGTAAACTGGACCAATTCATCAGAGACTAATGGATATGTGATTGAGTATACTACTGGAGATGTAACCAGGAATGTAGTATCTACCAGTGAAGATGAAATTGTACTAACAGATCTCTCACCAATGAGTACCTATACCATCAGTGTGTACTCATATATAGATCTTCCTTCAGTTAATAGTACAGTAACAGTGTTAAGATTTGATTGTGAGTTATTATGATTGAGAGAGTGTAATTGATATGTGTTGTAGTTCCTAGTCCAGTAACTAGTCTCTCAGTATCTAATGTCTCAACCACTGGTATTACAGTGAACTGGACTATTC